TAACCAATTTTTTAAAAAATCTAGGAGCATCATAAAGGACAAATGGTGCATGGGTGCACCTGGTGCACTGTAGAAGGTGCCCTATATTTGCAATTTCAAACGTATTGGTCTATCTTTTTTGTCAACCAACGACTCATTTAGGTATCTTACGTGGCAACTTCTGAAACATGCCTTGTTATTGTCCTAATGGTCCTAATAGTCAATGACTACCTTTCAAAGAGGCCAACTTTTCAAACCCAGAGAAACGTGTCTTTTACTTTTAGTTTTTAGCTCTTCCATCTTCTCTGCCTAATTTTTGTGCTAATTTTTTTCAATATAAAAGTATTTAGTCTCAGAATATCAATGCAAGCCATGAAAAGCCTTTTTGTGTGCTCCTTCTTGTTCTCTTTCCTAAGTATCTCAACTACAACCACACTAGACACAATCATTCCAAGTCGATCTATGAGAGATGGTGAAACTCTAGTTTCAGCAGGTGGAAGCTTTCAACTGGGATTCTTTAGCCCTGGTTCATCAAAAGGTCGATACTTAGGAATATGGTACTCTGTTGATATTGAGACAGTTGTATGGGTAGCCAACAGAGAAACACCACTTGGCGATTCTTCAGGAGTTTTGAAGGTCACCGAGCAAGGAGTTCTAGTCCTTCTCAATAGCTCAAACAGCATGAAATGGTCATCCAATTCATCTAGAACTGCAGGGAATCCAGTATCACAACTCATGGATTCAGGAAACCTTGTTGTGAAAGATGGAAATGAAACTAACCCTGATAACTTCTTGTGGCAGAGTTTTGATTATCCTTGTGACACATTCCTACCAGAAATGAAGCTTGGTTGGGACTCAAGTACCGGTTTTGATAGGTACGTCTCGTCTTGGAAGAGCACAGACGATCCGGCTCCTGGAGAGTTTTCAGTAAGGATGGATCGCCGTGGTTTGCCACAAGTTGTTATTATGAAAGGAGCTAAGATAACGGCTAGAGTAGGGTCATGGAACGGCCTTTATTTTGCAGCATATCCATATCCTCCACAAACACGGGAAAACCAAATACTTGGGCGTAAATTTGTGTTGGACAAGGATGAGGTCTATTATGAGTACAGGCTTCTAAACACGTCCATATTCTCGAGAAATATGGTGAACCCATCAGGCATTGTGCAGCGATTCACATGGGTGTACCAAAGGCATAGTTGGGAACTTTCCTATACACTCCAAGCAGATCGGTGTGAGAATTATGCCTTGTGTGGTGCATATACTAGTTGCAGTATCAATGTCTCTCCCATATGTGCATGCTTGAAGGGATTTGTACCAAAATCTCCAAAAGATTGGAATTCAGGATATTGGTCTGATGGGTGTGTTCGAAAGATTCCATTGGCTTGCAGCTATGGAGATGACTTCCTAAACTACACTGGTGTTAAATTGCCAGACACATCTTCCTCATGGTTTGATAAGAGCAGGAGCCTCAAGGAATGTAAGGGATTATGTTTGAAAAACTGCTCATGTACGGCATATGCAAATTTAGATATCAGGGAAGGAGGAACTGGCTGTTTGCTTTGGTTTGGTAACCTCACTGACATAAGACAATTCACTTCCGGTGTTGGTCAAGACCTCTATGTACGGTTGGCAGCTTCAGAACTTGGTAGCTCTTAGACTTTTATTTGATCTTGTTTTTGTTTTTCTAGCCAATACTGGATAACATTGTCACAATATATTTATAGGTTAAGGGAAAATGAGTTTTTGTCAACTTTTTATGTTTTTCTTTTGGATGGGGTTTTGATGGGGGCAGCAGTTAGAAGCAGCATAGTTAAAAGTATTGAGCTTTACCTAGATCTAGGTCCACAAATGGTGGTTATTTCCTTGGTTGGCCTTGCTGCTTCGTCTGCAGTTATGCAAAGTATGGCAAAAATAAGTTGGTGTTAGATTCACAATTACTGCTAAATGCGAGATTGCTTACCGAATTGCATGAAAGTTTTATTTTATTTGTAATCTTTCAGATCATATTGAGCGAAAGAGTAAGTTCAACAAGAAAAAGCTACCTGGAATTCTCATCAGCTCTGCAGTTTTGCTTGTGGGAACGTTACTAATTGGATTGATATTGTATATACGGAAGAAGAAACTCAGAAATCAAGGTAAATATCTCAAATGCGGACCTGGATTCTTTCAAATACATGATTGTAAAATTCAGGCACAAAAAATAAAACCAAAGTATCTCTACTATGAAATTTGCATTAGATTGTTTCGATAGTGTGTGATTTTCTTGTGTTCCAAGATTTGGCTTAGGGTTTCGCATTTAACCAATATAATTCTTACACATCTATTTATCCATGCTGAGGAGATCTCCCTGTCATTTCAGGAGTTAGAAGCATAGATTGCACAAAACATTACCTTGGAGAAGACAGGGAAGACATGGAGTTA